GGGCAGGGCTCGAGCGCAACAACACCAGCAACAGCACCAGCACCAGCAACAGCACCAGCACCAGCAACAGCACTGGCTCGGGTAGCGGGACAAGGCTTCGGGTAGCGGGGCAAGGTTTCGGGCAAGGCTTCGGGTAGCGGGGCAAGGTTTCGGGCAAGGCTTCGGGTAGCGGGCAAGCTTCGGGTAGCGGGGCAAGGGTTCTGGCAAGGCTTCGGGTAGCGGGGCAAGGCTTCGGGTAGCGGGGCAAGGTTTCGGGCAAGGCTTCGGGTAGCGGGGCAAGGCTTCGGGTAGCGGGGCAAGGCTTCGGGTAGCGGGGCAAGGTTTCGGGCAAGGCTTCGGGTAGCGGGGCAAGGCTTCGGGTAGCGGGGCAAGGTTTCGGGCAAGGCTTCGGGTAGCGGGGCAAGGTCTTGGGTAGCGGCAAGGCTTCGGGTAGCGGGGCAAACAGGTCACGACTCGGGCAGCATCAACAGCAGCAACAGCAGCAACATCAGCATCAGCGCCCCGGCCATGAGTGGAGTCACGGAGGACATTCGAAGTTTTTCGTGCCGGTTTTTTATGGGTGTGTTGCTGTATGGGAGCCGCAGGCTCGAATTGGCCTCGTGTTTTTTCTCCCTTTTTCCCCTAGTTTTTTCCACGTCAGGAGGAGTGGGGTCAGACGCACCAGGCCCGATTCGCCCTCGTTTTTTTTCCTTGTTTTTTCCACGCCAGGAGGATTGGCGTCAGCCGCATGAGCTGCACCAGGCCCGATTCGCCCTCGATTTTTTCCCCTTTTTTTCCACGACAGGAGGAGTGGCATCCGCATGAGCTGCACCAGGCCCGACTCGCCCTCGTCTTTTCCTTGTTTTTTTTTCCACGCCAGGAGGAGTGGCGTCCGCCGCAGGGGTGGCTTCCGCCGCATGGAGCGCACCAGGCCCGACTCGCCCTCGATTTTTGTTCCCCCTTTTTTTCCACGGCAGGAGGAGTGGCATCCGCCGCAGGAGTGGCATCCGCCGCATGGGCCGCAGGCCCGAATCGCCCTCGTTTTTTTCCCCTTTTTTTCCACGTCAGGTGGAGTGGTGTCCGCCGCAGGAGTGGCATCCGCATGGGCCGCAGGCCCGACTCGCCTTCGTGTTTTCCCCCCTTTTCTCCGCGCCAGGAGGAGTGGCATCCGCATGGGCCGCACCAGGCCCGACTCGCCTTCGTGTTTTCCCCCCTTTTCTCCGCGCCAGGAGGAGTGGCATCCGCATGGGCCGCACCAGGCCCGACTCGCCTTCGTGTTTTTTCCCCCTTTTTTCCGCGCCAGGAGGAGTGGCATCCGCATGGGCCGCACCAGGCCCGACTCGCCTTCGTGTTTTTTCCCCTTTTTTTCCACGTCAGGTGGAGTGGGATGGCGCCGGCAGCTCCGGGTGGAAGGTGCCTCGCAGGCCTGATTTTTTTTTCACGCGTTTGCGTCATCTCGCCACTTGAAGGCCACCGTCGAAGGTCAGGAGGGAGAAGAACTTCAACTCCTGGAAGGAGAGACTCGGTGTTGTCGTTAGCGTGCACGCTCCTGGCTGCAGGATGACGTTCGCAAGGAGCTGGCGGTGAAGGCGAGGTTTTTGCGGAGCGAGTTGATGAGGTTTGCTTACACTTGGCCGCAGGACGTTCTCATCCAGAAGCTGGAGGAGGAGCTGAAGGAGGTGAAGTCGGAGAAGGAGCTGTGGCCGGCTTGTCAACTCTCTTGTTTTTGCTCTGCGGCAGGAGGCCCTCGAGAAGCGGTTCTACGAGAAGGTCAGGGGAGGCTTCTTTTTTTTTGTATGCACTTCCTTTTTTGCCAGGTTCAGGAGAACACCAGGTTTTGCGCGGAGCTGGCCGCGGAGCGGAGGTGGACAGCTTCGTACCAGGAGCGCGCAGCTGGTTGTTTTTTTCATGCGTGACCTGGGCAGGCTGATCACGGGCCGCTGCATCTGGACAACATGCAGCTCAGGGCCCAGGTCGCGAATCTCGAGGTTGGGAGAGATGCTGGGCCTTGAGTATGTTGATCTTGTTTCCTGACAGGCTTTGGTCCCGGCCAGCAAGCGCCCCAAGGCCCTATCGGTTTGTTGTAGGACTCCGCAATCGCTCACTTTGATTGACAGGTGGAGCCGGCTCCAAAGCCGAAGGGCGAGCCCCCGGCCAAGGCCGCTCATGTCATGACACAGTGTTTTGGCGCGTAATCCACAGTTTGCCCCAGGGGAAGTCCTCATCTGGGCCTGCGTGAGGCTCCTGCTTTGTGAGTTTTTTTGTCAGCATCTTGACATGCCACCGGCGCAGGATGGACAGGTGAGCGAGGCGACGTCGAGCCGCTCTGCTGTGAAAACAGCGGTCGGGACCTGGGGAGAGAGGGGGTGGGGCGGGAGGGGGTGCCGAGCGGGCACCTAGACGTGCCGAGCGGGCACTTAGGCGCAGGATGGACAGGTGAGCGAGGCGACGTCGAGCCGCTCTGCTGTGAAAACAGCGGTCGGGACCTGGGGAGAGAGGGGGTGGGGCGGGAGGGGGTGCCGAGCGGGCACCTAGACGTGCCGAGCGGGCACTTTAGGTAAACGTGCCGAGCGGGCACTCTAGATTAGGAGTAGGCAGTGCCGAGCGGGCACTTAGGGGGTGCCGAGCTGGCACAGTGCCGAGCAGGCACTTAGGGGGTGCCGAGCGGGCACGGTGCCGAGCGGGCACGTAGGATAGTACGGGTTCGGCCAACGGCCCCCTTAGTACGGGTTCGGCCAACGGCCCATAGTACTGGTCCGCCCAACCTCGTTTGATACTGGCTCGCCCAACGGCCCCCTTAGCACGGGTTCGCCCAACGGCCCCCTTAGTACGGGTTCGCCCAACGGCCCCCTTAGTACGGGTTCGCCCAACCATCGTTTGATACTGGCTCGCCCAACGGCCCATAGTACTGGTTCGCCCAACGGCCCCCTTAGTACAACGGCCCCCTTAGTACGGGTTCGCCCAACGGCCCATAGTACTGGTCCGCCCAACCTCGTTTGATACTGGCTCGCCCAACTGGCCTAGCTCTGTGCCCCCCCCTGAGGCGGTTTTTTATTTATATAAAAATCTAAATGCTTCCATCCCTGGCAGGTTGTCTCCCTTGCTTTCTGTGCCCCTCTGAGGCGGTTTTTTATTTATATAAAAATCTAAATGCTTCCATCCCTGGCAGGTTGTCTCCCGTGCTTTCTGTGCCCCCTGAGGCGGTTTTTTTATTTATATAAAAATCTAAATGCTTCGATCCCTGGCAGCCCGTGCTTTCTGTGCCCCCTGAGGCGGTTTTTTATTTATATAAAAATCTAAATGCTTCGATCCCTGGCAGGTTGTCCCCGTGCTTTCCGTGCCCCCTTGAGGCGGTTTTCCACAGGCATTTAGATTTTTATATAAATAAATCGAGCCGCTGCTGCTCAGACACCTTCGACTTGGCGCACAGGCATTTAGATTTTTATATAAATAAAAAAGCAATCCTCATCCTTGAGGTGTGTGATATAGGGATGCCAACATGCGAAGCGCACGGAGCTGAGTTCCAGGTCGTTGGGCGAAGCAGTATTAATCCTACGTGCCCACTCGGCACTGCATAAAAACCTCCCCCAGCGCCAGACCCAGGCCATTTGACAAGCCGCGAGGAAGTATTATTTTCTTTTTTTTAAAAAAATAATTTTTTATATTTTATATAAAACTAACTAAACGCATGCATTCCTTGTCAGACTGCCTGCAGAGGGATTGAAGCATTAAGATTTTATATGAACAAAACCGCCTCAAGGGGCACAGAGCTAGGCCATTTGACAAGCCGCGAGGAAGTATTCTTTTCTTTTTTTTTAAAATTATTAAAGTTTTCATTTTATATAACAACTAAACGCATGCATTCCTTGTCAGACTGCCTGCAGAGGGATTGAAGCATTAAGATTTTATATGAACACAACCGCCTCAAGGGGCACAGAGCTAGGCCATTTGACAAGCCGCGAGGAAGTATTCTTTTCTTTTTTTTAAAAAAAATAAAGTTTTTATTTTATATAAAAAGCTAAACGCGCGCATTCCTTGTCAGACTGCCTGCAGAGGGATTGAAGCATTTAGCTTTTTAGAAAAATAAAACCGCCTCAAGGGGCACAGAGCTAGGCCATTTGACAAGCCGCGAGGAAGTGTTTCGATTAAAAAAAAAAGTTTTATTTTATATAAAACCTAAACGCTCGCATTCCTTGTCAGACTGCCTGCAGAGGGATTGAAGCATTTGTTTTTTTAGAAAAATAAAACCGCCTCAAGGGGCACAGAACGCACGGGATGCCAGGATCGAAGCATTTAGATTTTTATATAAATAAAAAAGCGCCTCAGGGGGGCACGGAAAGCATGGGAGACAGCCTGCCAGGGATGGAAGCATTTAGATTTTTATATAAATAAAAAACCGGGTCAGGGGGCACAGAAAGCACGGGAGACAACCTGCCAGGGATGGAAGCATTTAGATTTTTATATAAATAAAAAAACCGCCTCAGGGGGCACAGAAAGCACGGGAGACAACCTGCCAGGGATGGAAGCATTTAGATTTTTATATAAATAAAAAACCGCCTCAGGGAGGCACAGAAAGCACGGGAGACAACCTGCCAGGGATGGAAGCATTTAGATTTTTATATAAATAAAACCGCCTCAGGGGGGCACAGAAAGCACGGGATGCCAGGGATCGAAGCACGAGGGATCGAAGCATTTAAATTTTTATATAAATAAAACCGCCTCAGGGGGGCACAGAAAGCACGGGATGCCAGGGATCGAAGCACGAGGGATCGAAGCATTTAGATTTTTATATAAATAAAAAACCGCCTCAAAGGGCACAGAACTAGGCCATTTGACAAGCATCTCCAGGACCGGGTGGAGTTGCCGCTCAGACGCCTTCGACTTCGGCTGCTGTTTCCGAATGTCCGGGGCCTGGTTGCCAGTCATTGCCAAGCATTCGGGTACTTGCTGGGACGTGCCATCTTTATCTTTTGAAGCATTTTCTCAGAAGGAACTTAGCTTTCGACACCTACCATGACCAGGGATGCCGCGCGGTCCCTGGCGGTGCAGCTCGTGCTGAGCCCAACGCATCGAGTTGGCGAGAGGTGCGGCTTCAGGATCTTCCCCGGCCCTGCGTCGTCCTGCTTCAAGATGATGATGCACTTGGTGCACCCGGACAAGTGCACGGACCCCCGCGCTGGAGAGGCCTTCGGTGAGATGCAGAGCATGAAGAGCTTGGCGGTCGTCGGTGATCCAGACGCTACTCGCCAGCGGCCCATGACTGAGCTGGAGGGGCTTCTGCACCGCGCGCTGTGCAAGATCCGAGATCCGGTGGAGACCGCCGCAGAGGTCAGCAATTTCTGTGACGGCCTTCTCCGTCGGCGCAAGCGCCTTGAGAGATCTGTGTGCCAGGAAGCCTTGGCGAGGCTCCAGTGGCTCAACCTCAATGATGCCAACCCCGAGGAAGCTGAGTCGGTGCGGGAGCTCCAACGCATCTTTGAAAGGAGGCTCTCAAAGGCTCTTGCGGAGGTTCAGGAGCAGACGGAAAGCCGGCTGAGGCCCAGGAGGAGACGGAGGCTAAGGAGCAGACGGAGGCCCATGAGCCGGCAGAGACGGAGGCCCATGAGCCGGCCGAAAAGCCGGCTGAGGCCCAGGAGGAGACGGAGGCCCAGGAGGCCCATGAGCCGGCCGAAAAGCCGGCTGAGGCCCAGGAGGAGAGGATGTCGTCGCCCAGGTTGCCCAGCACTCTGCTGGCGTTGGCCAGCTGGGCGCAGCGCAGGTAGACCTCGTTGTGCGCCATCATCCGGACGAACTCAAAGACCTGCTGCCCGCCGGAGACAAAGCTCGGGCCCAGCATGTGGTCCACGCTGATAGGCTTGGTGGGAGAGGCGGGCGGCGCGGCGGGGTAGTCCACGGCATCAGGGAATTGCTGGCGCAGCTCCAGGTCGTTCAGGATGAGCCTGTTGCCGTCGTAGGCTACGCTCAGGCTGTTCGTGGTCTCGCTGTAGGTGGCGGTGGCAAAGTTGGAGCTGATCCAGGCGGCCAACCGTGCGCCAGTGTACGCGCCCTCGGCAGTTCAGCGTGCCCAGCGCGGCGTCAACCCAGTAGAGGTAGCGGCCCCGGTCCGTCGAGAGGAAGCTGTCGGCCAGGCGGATCTTGTAGACGGCAAGCCGGGCGTCGCTCTGCAAGTGCAGGGACTCTCCCCACCCTCTTGCGGCTGTCCACGTAGATCGTCGTCATCCTTTTCTTTAGGAAGCCACCCGTCCGGCGAACGACGGGCGACTGGACAGCTGCGACGGAAGTGCAGCACTGAGCGCCTGAGGCGCAGGAGATGTTCTCACACTTCGCGTTGATCAGCGTGGAGCTGGCGAACAGCTTCCGGCCCAGGAAGCTGAGCGCTGCCCCCATCGGAGTCTTTCTCAAGCGCGAAACGCTCTTCGAAGCGCTTGTAGAACATTTCGTTCTTCGGCTTCAGGTAGTACACAAAGAAGAAACTGTAAGGTTCTCGGGTCGCCTGCTCGTACAGCCGGTACAGCTGCTCCTTCGGCAGCAGTGCGCTCAGCTCCTCGATGACGGCATCCAGCTCGTGCTGGTTGCGCAGCCTCCAGCAGCACAAAAATTGCATGTTGACCCGCACGGCGGCGCTGATGAGCCTCAGCTTCTGGGAACTCACCCAGGTGCTGATCTGCATGTGCCGGCCCCTGATGAACAGCGTATCCAGGGCGCCGTGAGGCTTGTGCAACTGCGGCGTGTCAGCAAAGTCGTCGATGACTACAAGCACCTGGTACAGTTTCGACATTTCCAACTTCTTGGACGCCTCCGTGATCTTGCGCTGCTGCTGGATGATGCGCCGCAGCGCCGCCTCGTCCCACTCGTCCCAAGACGTCTGCTCCCGCTCTGTGTTCACCCCCAGGTCCTCCTCAATGTACTTCTTGACGGGTATCCAGCCGTCGTCTATGTTGACACTCGGGCTGAAGATGTAAATTCTCTCAAAGACGCCGCGATACTGCTCCAGAATCAGGCTGATCAGAGCCACGGTTTTGCCCGATTTTGATGGCCCGAGGAAGATGCCCGTGCATGGCGCCAGGGGCACCACGGGGTCAGAGGGCTGCTTACTGCTATACTCTGTCGTAGGAAACAGCGTGATCTTCCCCATGCGTCCTTTTAAGGCATGCAGCTGAAGTTTATGGGTGAGTTGTGGCATCTGGACGAACATGCGCTGGGCGCCCAGCTGCGGACTCTGCGGGCCCGGCAACCGCTGCGAGGCCCGGGAGAACGGCAGGCACGCACGCGCCGCACAAAGGGGTCCCCGGAAAATCGGCCAGCGCTACGAGAACGTTCGCAGGCAGTCCCGTGAGCTGCTGTACAGCATTCCAGCGGCGCTCTGTGACGAGATTGCGGCGGCAGCAGAGGCAAGCGAGACTTAACCGGAAAGCCGGCCCGGCACGGAAAGCAGGGATGGAAGCATTTAGATTTTTATACAAAAAAAATCCAAGGTCCGGCCCAGAGACCGGCACAGAAAGCACGCGGAGACTGCTTACCAGAGATGCCGGCAGAGGAAGGAATGGTATGCACAAGGGTTGCCTCAACAACCCAGCAAAGAAGGAATTCACGCAGGCGTGCAGAAGTGAGGCTACAAGGCAAATTGCAAGCAAATCGAGGGTGTGTTACGTTGCAGCGCCGTGGCTGCAGGAGCAATTCTGGACTTGAAATTCTTCGCAGGAAACTCTGCTGGGTCTGTAGCTGCAATATTGTGGCAGTTGGAAATCTTTGTGTATAGAGAGAGGGAGCATGTCTTGTAGATTGAGCATGACCTTGGATCAAGACGTTCAGTTGGCAAATCGACTGTCACAGCAAGCCAAGCGGACGCCTACAACAAAGCAATCCGATTTTGTTCACATCTGACGGAAGCAATCCAATCTGACGAACTACAACCAATTGACAAGTCCCATCCCACAAGTCAATTTGACACGCCTAACAACCAAAGTGAACCGCAGACCCGTCACTGGGCCGGCCTATGATCTGCGGAGGCGGCTGCGCCGCCCGGACGGGGTCACGTTTCAGGCGCACGTACTCAGCCGTCCTGGAGCAGCTGAGAGTGGAAGGCCTGCGCGGCTGCGAGCCCCTGCGCCTATGAGGTCCGCTGCCGCCTGAGCGCCGTCTGCAGTGCTGCGCAGACGGTCCGTGATGGAGGGCGGCCCCTGCCCGTTGCTAGCGCGCCGGCCTCGGGGTCTCGTACCCCTTGGTCCTCCGCGCAGGCGCTCCTCGTCCGTGGCTCTGCGGGAGCAAGCGCGGGCGCTGGTTGAAGCCGTGCCCGGAGCGTCGCCTGCCGCCCGTTCCACGCCCGGCTCTCCAGCATGCGCAGGGTCTTGTGAGCTGAGGCGTCTCAACCGGTGGTGCCTCAGCCGGTGGTGCCAGCTGGTGCTCCCAGGGGCCTTTCGGTTCCGACACAGCCGGCGCAGCGTGTGGCGCAGCGCACCTCTTGCACCTCTTGCAGTAGTAAGGAACATAGGCTTATAGTATCCTATTAATTTTGGTTTTTTGGTCCCCAAACCCTGCAAAACAGCCAAATTCTTCAACCTGCTGAACGTTTTTCCGATGTCACCGGTCTTTGTCACCACTCCGTTTTTGGTGCAAAAAGCGCTGAAAACGGTGAACTCCGCAAAGCGTGTTTTTTCGTGTCAGACGTCCAAAGTGGTGCCTGAGCCTCCAAGTTCGCTCGTTTTCCGCCGAAAACCGGCTCCAGACGTTCGCCGTGCTCCGAATTCCGTTTTCTGCCCTGAAAAGCCTGCGAATTCCAGCCCGCTGAACTCGTCACCGCTTGTCACCGCTTTGTCACCACTCGCTTTTTGGGTGCAAAAGTGCGTAAAATCGGGCCCAGTTCCCGAGCTCCTTCTCCGCAGGGTTTTTCGCGGCCCGTCAGCCCGCCGAGGTCCAGGCTCGGAGTCCGACAGCCCGCCGAGGTGGTCCGTCAGCCCGCCGAGCTTGTCACCACTGATGTCACCGCTCCATCCGGCTCCGGTTTTTGGTGCAAAAAGCGCTCAAAACGGTCGAGTCCGAAGAGTCCGTTTTTCGTGTCGGACTGCAAGTGGGATGCCCGAGCCTCCAAGTTCGCTCGTTTTCCGCCGAAAACCGGCTCCAGACGTCAGTTTTCCGCTTTCGGCCCGGAAAAGCGGATTCCAGCCCGCCGAGCATGTCACCGCTTGTCACCGCTTCGTCGAGGTGGTCCGTCAGCCCGCCGAGCTTGTCACCACTGATGTCACCACTGATGTCACCGCTCCATCCGGCTCCGGTTTTTTGTGCAAAAAGCGCTCAAAACGGTCGAGTCCGAAGAGTCCGTTTTTCGTGTCGGACTGCAAGTGGGATGCCCGAGCCTCCAAATTCGCAGGTTTTCGGTCGAAAGCGGGCTCCAGACGTCAGTTTTCCGCTTTCGGCCCGGAAAAGCGGCGAATTCCAGCCCGCCGAGCATGTCACCGCTTGTCACCGCTTGTCACCGCTTCGTCGTCGGGGCCGAAAAGTGCGCAAAAATGCTGAAAAGCGAAACCAGCTCCGCGGCTTCGGTCCGACTTCGCTCTGGTGCGGGCCTGGTGCGGGCCTGGTGCGGGCCTGGTGCGGGCCTGGTGCCTGGTGCGGGCCTGGTGCGGGCCTGGTGCGGGCCTGGTGCGGGCCTGGTGCATGCTTGGTGCGGGCCTGGTGCGGGCCTGGTGCGGGCCTGGTGCGGGCCTGGTGCGGGCCTGGTGCCTGCTTGGTGCGGGCCTGGTGCGGCCCTGGCAATCCTTGCCGTGGGCACAGGATTGCTTTACTCAATCCTGGCGTGGGCACAGGATTGCCCCACTCAATCCTGGCGTGGGCACAGGATTGCCCGGAAAACTCCGTCAGCGCGGTGCTACACAGCACTGCGCGCTCTCGGACTCGCCGCCCGGCTTCCCGGCTTCAAATTTGGCAAGTAACGCAAAGGAAATGGGGAAGATCAAGCTGTTTCCTACGACAGAGTATAGCAGTAAGCAGCCCTCTGACCCCGTGGTGCCCCTGGTGCCATGCACGGGCATCTTCCTCGGGCCATCAAAATCGGGCAAAACAGTGGCTCTGATCAGCCTGATTCTGGAGCAGTACCGGGGCGTCTTCGAAAGGATCTACATCTTCAGTCCTTCGATCGGGATCGACGATGGCTGGATTCCCGTCAAGAAGTACATAGAGCAGGACCTGGGGGTGAACGCTGAGAAAGAGCAGGCTTACTGGGACGAATGGGACGAGGCGGCGCTGCGGGGCATCATCCAGAGGCAGCGCAAGATCACCGAGACGTCCAAGAAGATGGAAATGAAGAAACTGTACCAGGTGCTTGTAGTTATCGACGACTTTGCTGACACGCCGCAGCTCCACAAGCCTCATGGCGCCCTGGACACACTCTTCATTCGAGGCCGGCACATGCAAATCAGCACCTGGGTGAGCTCCCAGAAGCTGAGGCTCATCAGCGCGGCAGTGCGGGTCAATCAGCAAATCTGCTGCTGGAGGCTGCGCAACCAGCACGAGCTGGAGGCCGTCATCGAAGAGCTCAGCGCCCTGCTGCCGAAGGACAAGCTGCACAGGATCTACGAGCAGGCGACCCGAGAACCCTATAGCTTCCTCTTCGTCTACTATCTGAAGCCAAAGAGCCAAATGTTCTACGTGCGCTTTGAAGAGCGTTTCGCACTGGAA